TTTCCTGGCTTTTGTCCTCTCTGCTTATGTGCCTGCTTCATCTTTAGGTTATGGCAGCTTCAGCCTAGTCTCACAAGGGCCTTTACTCAACTTCATTTTGTACGCCAGTTACACCCCTTCCTGGATCAAGAGTCCCTCCAGTCTGTCACTCACACCCTGGTCATCTCGTTTAGACTATTGCAATGTGCTCTACATGGGGCTACCCTTGAAGAGTATCTGGAAGCTACAGCTGGTTCAAAGTGCAGTTGAGTGGGCAATTTTGGGTGCCCCAAGGACGGCACATGTAACACCTTTGCTGCAGGAGCTACATTGGATGCCAGTGTGTTTCCGGGTCCAATTCAAGGTGTTGGTTATCACCTTTAAAGCCCTATATGGCATGGGTCCAGGGTACCTGAGGGATCATCTCACCCCCATTACATCAACCTGTCCCACCTGGTCCAGCAGAGAAGGCATGTTGCAGATCCCGTTGGTGAGAGAATGTCAACCGGCAGGTCCTAGGAGGACAGCCTTCTCTGCCATTACTCCTGGTCTATGGAATATTCTCCCCCCAAAGGTGAGGCAGGCCCCTACCATCACAATTTTCTGGAGGGAATTGAAGACTTGGCTCTGCAAACTTGCTTGGGGCAAGGAAAGATACAACCGACCCTGGGGATGGCTGGCGCCTTGAAGACGCTCCTTGAATTTATTAACACCTAATTAACACCAGCCTCTTGGAAGTATTATACAGGAAGTTTGTTATTGTAGCATATTTTAATTAATATTTATTTTAATTAATGTTTATTCTGTTTTTACTGGAAACCACCCAGAGTCACTCTGCAGTGATATCGGCAGTGACAAAGTTGAAATATAAATAAATAAAAATAAATATCTCATATCTGATCACAATTACAATCAGTTCCATCAATGTCAATAGGACTTTCATGCTTGTAACACAGAACTGGAACTTCATACTACAGCATCAGTAGGCCTAACAGTTTGGGTTTGTTACATCCATCGAATCACTTCTTCAGAAATAACTTTAATGAATCAAGACAACTAATTTTACAGTGAAACAACATCATGCCACAGCAAGCCACATACATCCCAATTTACAGGGATTTTGTTTTAGGTCAGGGCTGGTTCACAGAAGGCATTCAAAGTAGCAGACAGAGTGCACATGAGAAATTTGAGCTGCAGCAAAAGATGCTTGTATTCTCACAAACTCATCATTTTGGCAGAAAACTCACTTCTTCAGTTAATTCCCACACTCAGCCCGTTTTCCACTCCTCATTGCACAGAAACACACACAAATGCTGCTTCACATACTATATATAAAACCATGTACATGCAAATAAAATCTCATGAAAGAGTTGTGCAATTTTTATGTGATAGAACTCCAAATAAATTGCAAAAAATATAAACAGATTTTGAGATCACCAATATATGAAGATTAATTGAATTTCATATATATTTAATCTCAGGGGTATCAAAGAAACATGTGAACCAGCCCTAAGTATCTTTAGGGCTGGTGACCCAAATGTATGATTATAGATTACTTCACAGAGTTCTGAATGACAACCCAAAGTCTTCCAAAAACATAACTTAAGGCAAGCAGATGTGCAATAAAATATTTCCAAGCAATCTTTGGACCAGTCAGCTGTAGTGTTTCCTGCTGCTGAAAATAACTTTGAAATATCACTAATAAGTGTTTGTGAATTGCAGTGATACTGAAGGAACACAAACCATTTTTAAAAACTGGACAACTAAATGTGATTTATCAAAGACCTGCAACAGCTTTTCCCAATTTGTTAACTTCTGAATGTGCTGTAACTACAACTCCCCAAACCGCCAGTCAACATGACCACTAGACATATTAGCTGGAAATTCTGATAGTGAAATTCTAAAATAAGTAAAAAGCACTAGATTGGGGAATGTGGCCCAGAAATCTGATCAGTAAATAATGTAGTGCAAACAAAACAAATCCACACATAGACATCCATATTGTCACTTTAAAAAGCAAAACCTGAGTATATGAAATGTAATGTTTTGCCACTAGGGGATTAGACACAGGTATATTATATTGCACCAGGTCACTGAAGTAGATTTTGGAAACCTGAATCACATCACATTAATATCCAGGCAGCTCCATTTCTGGCAGCTGCTAACTTTAATATCTGTATGAATGCTGCGAGTTTCGGCAGTAGTTCAAATTCAGTGCTCTCCTCCATCAAAAATGATCAGTCTCATTAAAACTCCACGCACATTAAAAAGGAGAAGCCAAGGTTTTGAACCGTATTGCTTCCCCAACTGAATATTTACATGTTATTTTGGGGCCTTGTGAATGATTTCCATTTCTCCTACAATGAACGGGGAAAGCAGCAAAAGAACAATTTTTTCAAGTTAAAGTGAAAACGTTCCACAAGAGTAGCATAGCTTATCTTATAAAAATAATGTCAGTGTTACCCAACAGGGCCTCATTTCAGCACCTGCAGGAATAAAGTTATGACATAAAGCGTTGAGAATACAATGACAAAATAGATTTCTTACAAACGTTCTGGCAGTGTGTGCTGTGTTTACAATTCCTAAGAATCTGTGACAGAGTTTGTGCAATGTTCAATGATTTCAAACAAGTAATGATATTTATCAGTCCTCCGAGCAATATCGTAAGCCGTCTCTTCCAAGTTGTTTTTGAGATTTGGCTTTAAATATCGATTCATGAGTAACAGTTCAAGAGTTTCCTTGCTCTCTCTGTTTCCGGCTGCCAAGTGCAAGGGTGTAAGCAACCCGTTGGTCTGAGCATTGACGTTTGCCCCATGTTGGAGCAAGAATGAGGCAATTTTTGTGTTATTCCATTTGCAAGCACTGTGCAGAGGTGTCCAGCTATCCACGGTCAATGCATGGACATCTGCACCATGAGCAATCAGCTCACGCACCATTTCCAAGTGTCCATTATAGGCAGCGCGGTGAAGAGGAGTATACTGATCTTCATCCTGGACATTTATTGGTGCAAGGTTTTGAGACAAGAGCCTTTGCACTGTGTTAAGCTGTGGGGGTGGAGACAGAGAGGTTAGCATTAGTCCACTAGTGTCAAGTTAAGCCCAAGAAACTCCACTCCACTCCAGCTCCAGGTATTAGCTCACACCTGCTAGACAGAATCTCACCAGACTAACTCTAAACTCCCCAAGCCAGCAACTAAACACTACGAATTCCTTAGGGTGGTGCCAGTCTCATCTTCTTTGCTTTCCCATGCTCACGCTGTGGGCTGAGGAGATGCTTCTGTCCTTGACCCCTGTCATTCCATTCCATCACAACTAGCTAGACAAGTTTTTTTTTTTAAGATTAAGGGTAGGTGGCTTCCACACTCTGAATAAAGGCCACACTTTCATTAAAATGCACTGACTCAAAGGACTGAGGCAATGACTGGTGATACAATAATATCTCCAGAGTGGAAGAGGCCAATATTTCTAGCTATGTTGCCCCTTATTTTAGCAAAACTCATGCCATTCAAACCCATCACTTTTGCAAGGATGATCTGGGGAACCCATAACCTAGAGTGCTTCACAGACTATTGAGTTTAGTTCTGAAAGAACTGGGATTCACTTACTCAGCTAGAAACTTCATGAGACCCTGAGCAAGCTCTTTTTTCTTTTTCTCCTAACAAGGCAGTTTTATTAATTATGACTTTTCCAAGAAGGCAAACTCCTTCACACTGACTCCAAAAAAAAATAAATAAAAAAAATACAATTCTCCTATCCATTTGCTCCCATTCAACTGGAGGTACCAATGTCCTAAGCTTCTATAATCCCATCCCAAAAGTTCAGTCGACAAAAGAGCATAGCCCTAGTTCATGATTCTAAAAACAATCCAGACTGGCTTTGTGCATGCAATAGTTATTGGCTCATTTTATATTCATAATATTGGAACTTATTACACCAATTGCAATTATCTTTGTTTGTTATACAAAAGGCATCAGGACAATTTCTGACTTGTCTTGAATTCTGTAGCTGCAGCCAACAATTATTCCATTGTTCCTTCCTCCTTATGGTTTAAATGATGGACAACGTACAGATAGTAAGGGGTGCGTGTGAGAAACGATGATCTTCCACATGTCACTGAACCACAATTTCCAACATCCTTCTCTACTAGCTGTGCTAGGTTCAGCCATTCATTCAGCAATTTCTGTAGATTCATAGATTTTCCTCTTTGGAATTCTGTAAAGCAAGTCATGACTTCCCCCTCTGCTAGTTCAGGCTAAACAAACAAACCTCTACATCATGGCTGAACAATTCAGCAATGTCAAAATAAACCACTGATGGATGGTTTATGCTCACCCCTCTCAAATGAAGGAGACCTTAGCATCTCTGTGGCTATACCATAAGCCAACCATTATATCATCTGAAACCCCCATTAAGTCAAAATAGAGCCTTCCTAGGAAATAATAGGCAAGATAAATTTATAACGTAGAGCAGTGTTTCTCAACCTGCTGGTGGGGGAATTCTGGGAGTTGAAGTCCATGCATCTTAAAGTTGCCAAGGCTGAGAAACACTGATGTAGAGTTTTCATATACTGTAGTACATTTGGCTTACCCTATTTTTTTCAGCTGCCCAAAGCAGAAGCTTGTCTGGGCTATTTGCCAACTTTTTCTCTTGTGCCTGGTACCATTCCTCTGTTTTTTCTTCCTGGTCTTCCTCATCAGAGTCTCCAGACCAAAGACTCTGTGTTCCTCTGGGGATAAGATGCCGGTGGGTTTCCAGTAGTTCAAGCTGGTTAAAGCTGTCGGCAAAGTCTTTTGCCTCCTCGTCAGTGTTGTTGTTCTCAGATGATGTTCTGTTTTCATTCATTTTGCAGGCTTTGGTTTGCCTGTCTCTAAACCAGCAAAAGTGTTCCACTTCTTTCTTAACTCATTTCCCAGTGGCTTGCCAACAGAGTTTGCTAACGATTGGTAACAAGAGCTAGTGGCAGCAACATCACCACCATCTTTAAAAGGAGAGAAAAAAAAATAGGAATGGACTGATATTATGATTGGCAAAGAGGACAAGGCATTTGCTGCACCTTGAATAGTCTCAAAAGTGTCAATAAAAGAGCTATCTTAGTGCTTCTTTGGCATTATTGGACAAGGAACATGAAGGAGTTCTTCTTATAGTCTCTTTTGTTACCTTCCAAAATCACTTCAGAATTAAAAACCCAAAAGACTTGTGTCTTTCTATTTCTAGAAAGAAGGAGCAGAGCCAGAATTCAAAAGATTGTACTACATCAATCCTCTCAGTTCCCACATCCAAAAATGAAGTTCTTCATAATGCACTAGATCTTAGCCTAGGGGTTTATATCCAAAAATAAGCTCAAACAACTGTCCTTGGTATAACATCTTATTTATGTATATAATCTATGCAGTCACTCACTTTATACAAGTGACTCTGGGCAGCTTACGAGATTAAAACATACAACCCCACCAAACAACCCCCAATGCCCAAGGAAACCACTGACCACGCTCACCACCAACAGTAGCGGAGCTCATCTCCCCACTTGATTCAAATGCTTGGGGAAACAACCAGGTCTTCAAAGCCCTGTGAAAGGCTAACAGGGTTGGGGCCATCTCAATCTCCAGGGGGATGTTATCCCATAGGGCAGGTGCTGCCACTGAGAAGGCACAATTCCGAGGTCACAAGATGACACTGTTTAACAGAAGGGACCCAGAGCATGCCCTCTCTGCTAGATCTGGCAGGGTGGCAGAAACAATGGGAGAAAGACGGTCCTGCAAGTAGCCTGGTCCATGCCATGGGGGGCTTTATAGGTGATGACCAGCACCTTGAATTGTACCCAGAATTCACACCCTACAGGAGCCAGTGCAGCTTGCAGAGCAATGACATTACAAGGGTATAATAAGAAACACAAAAACTGCCTGTGCCATTGCATTCTGGACAGCTGCAGCTTCCAAACGCTCTTCAAGGGTAGCCCCAGGTAGTGTGTTACACTAATTCAAAGGTGACTGAGGCATGATTCACCATGAGCAGGGCCTCCCTGTCCAGGAGTGGGCGCAATTGGTACACAAGATGAACCTGTGCAAAAGGCTCCCTGTTCACAGCAGTAGCCAAGAGTCCAGGAGGACCCCCCTATTGCACACCAACTCTGACTGGGGAAGTGCACCCCATGCAGTGTTAAAGAAAGAAAATCCCCAGAACCAGGGGGTCCTTAAAACCCACAGCGATTCCATCTTGCCAGGGTTGAGCTGGGTTCAATATTGAGCTGGGTTCAATAGGTTTCTATTCTCCCCCATCCAGAGCCTCAGAGCCTCCAGACACTGGGAAAGGACCTCAGCAGCATTTGGACAGGACTTGATTGGCCCAGGAAAGAGATGTACAACTGTGTATCATCAGCATACTGATGGTGTCACACCCTGTGCCATTGGATGACCTCACCTTAGAATAAAACCATAAAACATTTACCCTATTTTTATACCATAGATTTTTTTTTTGTAGTCATAAGATAGTAGAGGTTTAAAAGTCAAACAAATAAATAATCAGACAACTGTGTACAAACTTAAGCTTAACCTGGGTTCAGTTCCAAACATCTATAGCTGGAAAAAAATCCTGTCTGAAATCCTGCAAGAGAGTCCTAGATAATACTAAACAAGGTGATCCTGGAAAAGGTAACCTCCTGTGTTCCACATAACAGCTCTCTACCTACACATTTCATAACAAAGAGCTGCAATGCAGTGGCAAACATGTAGAACATGTAGATGATCCTGGTTTCAATTTCCAGCATATTCAATGTTTTGGAAAGGAAGATTGGAAATTTTGGAAGGTGACAATCCAGGGAGCTCCCTACATAGGACTAATTGTCCCCAGTCAAACTCAGTAGAGTCCCACTGACTTGTTACAACTGGGCCCTCCACAGCGACAATTCTCTCAGGTTCTCAGAATCATGACATTACAATGTACTAAACAGTTTTGTGCATTCCTGAAGCACAAACACAAATCTATACTTAATAACCAATCAATAGTAATATTTGAGGGCAACAATATACAATACAATAATGTAATACTCACTTTATGATGAGGAATTTAGGCCAATGAATTCATGGAGAGATGGAGAAGTTCAGAAAGTAGCACATTCAATTTAAAGGTGAAACCAAGTTCAGAGAGTGAGGGGGATTTCAAGAAGCAATTCACTTTGTACTGCATTCAGGTACAGAAGGAGAAGGCTGAAAGAGAAAAACAGATTCTTGCCACTAAAAAGAAAGCAAGAATACTAGGGGCTTCTTGCCATAATAAATAGGGAGACAAATGGATAAGATGTTTCATTCCCCCACACAGAACACACTTTCAACAGGCAACACTTTGGGAATGGAAAAAAAAAGGTTATGCACAAGAATTTCTGGATTGAAGAGGGCTAGGGCAGAAAGAGAAAAAAATAATCTTTTCTCTGCAGTAGTGAACTACGTTAGCACTCCGCCCAGGTCATGTCCTCAATGGTTGGTCTTAGATGGATCCCTAGAAAGAAGATAGGGGCTCTCTATCCAAAGCTGTTTGCCAGTTCTCTTTGGCTGGGTCTTCCTGAAGCCATGATTCTTCTGGAGGTGGGGACTCAGATCAGTCCAAAGAATAGATACTGCTCCTTTGTGTGAGTCTGGATCAACAGTTCAGGTGAAATTGGCTGGCTCTTTCAGGCTGTGAAACCCAACTCATCAGGGTTGTTTCAAAGATCCAGGAAGCCTATGTTTCCAAAGTCTAAAGCAGCAATGTGCTGGAGGGATTAAGGTTTGCTTCTTTAAGGTTCAGCAATCCTCTAGGGATTGTAGCTACAAGTGCTACAATTAGTGAGGACCCTGTCAGGCCCCTGCCAGATTGGGAGGAGGAGGCACACAGGTTGGACTCAAGTCCAGTTCATGAGGGGTGTGTGGTCTCAGGTGGCTTAAAGATATCTTTGCGATAAACAAAAGGCTGCCCACCCCTCTCTAGAGTTCCCCTAAGTTCAGCTGTTGTTGGAGAAAATAACGTAAAGGCTTTCTTTTTCCTCACTTCCTTTTTACAGAGCAAGATTTCTCCCCTAGGACAAAAGTACTACTAGTCCCACCTGGAAAAAAAAGAGAGAATTTAAACTTTAGCAACATTATGAGGGCTTCAAGGAGTTTTACCTCACACAGTACTGTTTTATTTTTCTTGGCGTTCAAGTCGTTTTTCAGCAGCTCTCTCCATATTCTTACACCGTGCAAAGTCTGAGCCAAGTTGGGGGTATAATTTAGAGAAATGATGACCAAATCACCGAAAGCTATGGATCCCTAAAGAAAACATAATATTTGCAGCCTTACCGTGGCAGTAAGTCGATGTAATGGGCTGTGAGAAAAACCTTGGGAGACAGGAGGAAGAGGCACAGGTGCTACAAAACCTTTCTGCAGAAAGAGAGTGGGAAAGGACAAAACCAATCTTTCTTCCCCCCCCCCCTTTTACTAGAAAGGAAGGGAAGGGGTCATTCTCTTTTACATACGATGGGATTTTGTAGGAGGAGGCAAGAATAAGGTGCCACTTCCATTTTTGTCTTTTTTCTTTACAAAAGAGCAACCTGACACACTCCATTCCATTTGTAGGTCTTGGAGAGGAAAGAAGGGAGACCTGTCACGTAAGGGGGTTGGGTATTAAGCATGGTCTGATAAGAGACATCTCAGCCCACAGAAGGAATGGGGTAGAACAAGCGTCTCAGAAGGGACCCTCCCTGGTTCTCCGGAAAGTAAAACAAGGGAGGGGAGAAGCGCTTTCACACGTGCAAGATCCCGTTACTATAACCTTACAACAGCGGTAGTGTTTGGTACTCATGGTTTGGTTTCCTGTCTGGACTCCCTCGAAGGGCTGGCTGCCCTACACAACTGAGCAGGGCTAAACACACCCAATGAAGGCGACAGATCCATCGGGGTGCTCAACATCGAGGGGGAGTCCACCAAGGACCCCGAGCCAAGCTCTGCTGAAGGAATTACAACTGGCTCCCTTCACACGAAACGGTCAACCCAGCCTCGCAACCCCGCGGGCAGGATTCAAACAACCTGCTAACCCAAGTAGCCAGCCCTACCTTTAAGGTGACTCAGTTAAGCCTTACGGGCATCCAGGAAACAGAGACTGGACACGCACAGATAAATAAAGGCGTGCATGCAGCAGTGGGATAAATACAATCCTCGGCATATACGCTTCAAAACCTCCTTGGCTCCGGGGCAAGACGCGTGCTGAAGGAGACCCAGAGTCGCCCTCCGCATTGCACAGAGAGCAGGCGCTGCAGTCCCAGCTCCTCCACCGCCCCGGCAGGCCTCGCTCCCCTCCCGTCTAGGACACTTCCGGCCTTCCTCGGGGCCGCCTCTCCCCGGAAGTGGCTGGCGCTGCGGCTGCGCAGTGGGAGTTGATTGCGGGTGTTGGGCCCTGGGGAGCTCGTGGGGAAGGGCGGGAGTTGGGCAGTTCTCGCGAGAAGTAGCTGCCTGCGCTCGCGGGAGAGTGGGGGTGGGGAAT